TTATTAAAAGAATTTTTTTTACTTGGGAGAGGTAACTAGGTTAACTTACTTGTTTGTTTTTAGGGGAGGTGCAGGGGGTTGAACCCAGGCCCTTGTGTATGCTAAGCAGACACTCCACCACCCGAGCTACACCGTCCTCCCTTGGTCTTAGTGTTAGAAATAAGAGTTTCGCTTGGGTAATTGGCTTGTTTCTGCCTTATGGAGACTGTAAATGATGTAACTAATTAAGTTTCCTTTTCTGACTGCCTGCTAAAAAGCTTAGAGCCAAATTTGTGGTCCACCCAGAGAAAATGAGTGGGATTGTATAAGCATTTGGTATACACTTCATTCCTGCTTCTCCTGTTACTGATTCTTTCCTTGGTGTATTTTCTGGATTCTTTTAAGCCACCTTAAACTCTCTTGGGAACAAGGCTGTGTGTAAACAGATAAATAAACTTCAAAATGCATATTTAAAAATAAAATAAAGTAAAATAAAATCCTCTTACCCTATGAGGCAGGCACTGAGGTGCAAAGGCGAGGAAACTTGACCGAGCTGGCACAGCCTAGGTGGGTGCAGAGGGGTGAATGTCCTTCTCCGAGCACTGTGACCTGGATGGCAGCTCATGCTGTGTTGATTCTCCGGTCTGAAGGCTCAAGGTTTATCTCCCTTTTACTATGGGACGTGATATCAAGAATGTGAAAGAAATAACCCCATGCCAGGAGACCAGTCCTTTGGATCCCTTAACCTTCCTCCCTTTTAAAGCCAGAGGTCACTTTCCTGTCCTTGGGTCTAGACCTAAACCATATGGCAGCCACTGGACACACGTGGCTCCTGAATACCAGAAACGTGGGTTATCTAAGTGGAAATGTGCCATGAGTGTGAAATACAGACCAGATTTTGAAGCCTTAACACCAAATGTTGAAGATGAAATACCTTAATTGTTTTTATACTGACTACATGCTGAAATCGTATTTTGGATACACTGGGTTCAATAAATCATAAAAAATTAATTTTATCTGGTTCCTTTTACTTATTTAATGGGGCTATTATAAAATTTAAAATTATACATGTGGCTTATATGACATGCCTATTGTATTATTTTATTGTGTTAAACTTACTGTGTTCAGTTCACTGTAGAGTATACCGTGTTGGTCGAGAGACTTCAATTTTGAGCAGATAGAGAGGGGTGGGGAGAGGTGGACATAGATACAGATATGTTGGTTCTAAAACATGAAAACTTCAAAACCCAAATGTTTAATTGATGTATAGTTGATTTACAGTGTTGTGTTAGTCTCTGAGGTACAGCATGATGATTCAGTTATACCTATATATTCTTTTTCAATATAGGTTATTACAAGCTATTGAATAGAGTTCCCTGTGCTGTACAGTAGGACCTTGTTGTTTATCTATTTTATATATAATAGTTAGTATCTGCAAATCCCAGTCTCCTAATTTATCCCTCCTCCCCTTTCCCCTTTGGCTACCATAAGTTTGTTTTCTATGTCTGCATTTCTGTTTCTGTTTTGTAAATAAGTTTATTTGTGCCGTTTTTTAAGATTTCACATTTAAGTGATATCATATGATATTTGTCTTTCTCTTTCTGACTTACTTCACTTAGTATGATAATCTCGAGATCCATCCATGTTGTGGCAAATGGCATTATTTCATTCTTTTTTATGGCTGTGCTATAAAACTTCTTTATCCAGTCATCTGTCAATAGGCATTTAGGTTGCTTCCATGTCTTGGTGATTGTAAATAGTACTGCTATGAACATTGGGGTGCATGTCTTTTAGAGACAGAGTTTCTTCCAGATATATGCCGAGGAGTGGGATTGCTGGATCGTATGGCAACTCTATTTTTAGCTTTTTAAGGAATCTCCATACTGTTTTCCACAGTGGCTGCACCAAACTGCGTCCCCACCAGCAGTGAAGGAGGGTTCCATTTCCTCCACACCCTCGCCAGCATTTATCATTTGTGGACTTTCAACATCCCGAATCTCGAAGTCTTATTATCTGCCTACAAAAATTAATGTTATCAGTGTGAAACTGATGAACTAGGCTCTTGGTGTTCCTCTTGCATTTAACGTGTCTCCTACTCAGTGTGAAACACGGATGGATTTCAATGTATCTGGTTTGACAGGAGGCAGCTCATCACAGCTGAAGGTTCTAAGCGGTGGTTGTCAAGCTTGGCTACAATTACAATCATCTAGGGATCTTTAAAGAACCCCGATGTCTGGGCATCGGCAATCTGACTTATAAATCAGAATCTCTGAGCATTGATACTTTGAAATAATGCCCCAAGGAAGTGTTCAACATGCAGCAAAGGTTGGGAGCCGGTGGTCTATGAGAATTTGACGTTCCAGTTGAGGCAATGGGCTCCACCTGTCAGTCATCTCGCAGGAAGTTCTCTGCGATGGGATTGGGTCCCAAGGGCCAATCACAGAGCTTGGGAATAAGGAGAAACTCTTTTACAGGCGGTTTTCTGTGCCTGTAGCACTCAGCTGGGGGGTGGGGCCGAATGCTGGAGAGGTGAGTAACAGCCCTGCTTTTTCACTTTGTGTCTTTCTTTATTCAACTAAGTCTCTAAATAAAAAGTCTTCCTTCCTTTCTTTGAATGTTTGAATGTCAAACCTTTGAAGGATTACTGAGGTTTCAAGTCAAACTCCTCTTTGCGCAAAGACAGAAACTCTTGGAGGGGAGCCCCCGCCAATGACTCCTTCTATAACTTTAAACAGGTTTTTTCTCTCTCTCTTGCTGAAACTCAGCTTCCCGAAGTCACTGAAATATGAATATAAATTGGATTAACTTCACCCAAATGAGAACAACGCAGAATAACACATTTTGTGTGTAAACGCCTCGTGCTCTCAAGGGTGCAGAGACTCTTGACAGTGAGTTCGTGGGGTGGCATGTGGTGCTGGTATCTGATCTCTCACTCTCCCTAAAGCTGTGTCTAATCTCTCATTTCTCTCCAGTTGTTTCTAGCAGGAGCTTTCTACACTCACGCCTCCAAGTCACAACAATTCACGCATGTTTCAGTCCTTGCAATCCCGCTTCCTACCCAACCATTGTCCTGCAACTGCTCTTCTGGAAATCTTGTCTGCTAAATACAAAGGATATCGGGGGGTCCGTCTCTGGCAGGTCTCCATAATGTGACTGATTCATTCTTTTATTAGAGGTGTCCTCATACAAATCAAACGCGTTCTAATTAAAGACAAGAAGAACAAGATTAGCGGTAAGAATTTCCCCACTGCACTGCGATGCAGATACCACCACCGAATGTCTGGGGGACATTGCTATTTCCATGTAAGGCTCTCTTAGTTCCTGAAATTAGAGTCATGTTGCATGTATAACTTTTCTCTTTTCTGCTGTAATTACAGAATAAGTATTGTATAATAATTACCAACCTTGAAAACCCATCAGGTCTTGACATACCTCACTTACTATCTCCTAGATTAACCAAGCAGTTTGTTCTGTGTTTGATCAGTTGACTTTTTTCTCTCCTGAATCGTCCTGGTTTTGTACGTGATTACTAAGGATGTTAGGGTGATACCTATTTGAATCAATTAACAGAGGAATTGAGATCACAGGTTCTGAAGTAAGCCTGCTTTGATTAGAATATTCGCTCCACACTTTTCATCTGGATGAAAATTGGCAATCACTTAACCTCTCTAAATTCCCCTCCTGTGTTTTAAAGGATTGTCTTTACACAAGACCTCATTTAACCCTTTCAACAAGGGCGAAGTTGCACGCTTAACACTGGCTGGCATATCCGTGGCACTAGGAGGTGGGGGAGTAATGGCCATCATCTCTTTTCAAAAGGGAAGAAGTGTGAAATCTGCTGGTAAATGTGACCTGAAAACAAACTTGAGATCATAGGGCCCAGAGAGACTCTGCAAACTAGAAAAAAAAAAAAATCAAGGCATTAAGGCTCTCAAGCTTAGCATGCACGAGGTCCTGGGTTCAGTCCCCAGTACCTCCATTAAAATAAAGAAAGAAATAAACCTAATTGCCCCCTCCCAAAATTTAAAAAAAAACTTTATCTCCTACAAATTCGCATAAGTGGCAGCTCCTACTCCTCATGTTCTCAGCTGAAATAATCTTTCCTCCAAGAAGTCCCTGGTCACGTGATCCAAAATCACCTTCCTCCTACTTCTCTGTGTTACTTGTCCTCATATTTTTATGTCACTTGCTTCTGTTTGAATTTGCTTGTGAGGTGTCCACTTCTTCCCCACCCAACCTGTGTACTCAAACTGGGTATAAACACCAAGTAGACAGGGTTCTTACCCATCTTTACAGCTGCCACTTCAGTTCTAAGCTTGTTCTTGGCATCCAAGAGAATCTTTTATTGGAACAGATGAATGCCCAGACACTTAATGAGGTGGGTGACAGTGTATTTGACTGACAATTGGGAATTCAAGCTCAGGACCCTTTAGGCTCAAACACTCAACTATGAAAGGACAAGGATTTCAAATCCAAGTCTGTTGAGGTCAGGAAATGATTTTCTTTTTAAGCAACAGTAAATTAAGGAACCATTCCACTTAACTGCATGGTGGTGAATATCTGCTAAGATATTTTCAACTCAAGATCCTCATTTAAAAGTCAAGCCCCATAAACATCCTAAGATAATGACATGTCAAGTTGTTACTAAGAGTTAAAATCAGTGGTTCTCATTAGCTCATTTGTACATCAAATTGACTGAAAAAAATAGCAGAAGATCTGCTGCAAACAGGAGATCCAGCACCACGGACTTCTACCTAACTTGGACACTTCTATCTTCTCAAAAGGGTCCCAGGCTCTCAAAACATGAACTACTGTGTCAAGCCAAGAAAGACTTCTGTGTGGGTTTTACCTCTTCTGGGCAGTTTGTTCTTAAAGCAGCAGGTTAGGCAGTGAGACTAGCGCATTTCCTGACACAGGAGCTGTCAGCATTTGAGACAGGGGTACCAATCCACCATCTCTTTCCATTTCTTCCCTTAAAACTTCTTTAATGCCAAAAGCTCACATCTCACTCGTAGGTCAAGATGCTGCCTTCTGCACAGCTGGGTTTCCACCTGCAACCTCTTCTGGAGCAGCTCCACCAGGACGAGTTGAGCAAGTTCAAAGCTCTGCTGAGGACCCTTTCTCTGAAAGATGAGTTCCAGCACATCTCCCTGACGGAGGTAGAGGAGGCTGACGGGAAGCAACTGGCAGAGATTCTCACCAACCGCTGTCCCAGCTGTTGGGTGGAGACAGTGACCATCCAGGTCTTTGACAAGATGAACCGAACAGATCTGTCTGAGAGAGCAAAGGATGAATTCAGGGGTAAGCAGAAACAAGCCCACACAGTCTCCTAGGAGAAAGGAGTAATGGTCTCCGTGGTGTTAGAAGTACAGAAAAAACAGTGAGCCTTGGGGAGGCTACCTGTTCTAAATACAAGGGCTAGACCTTCATAAAGTCCAGTGGTGTCTTTCCTGGTTCTTACCTTCTGGCTACTTCTACTCCTTCCAAGTATTGTGTACCTACCCTGGCTGCCTTACCGTACATCCCTTCCCCTGTTCAAGGCTTTCTGAAATGCACTCATGGTCCCCCTTTTTTATATGTCCTCCAAAATCTTAAATTATTATATACCCTCTGTTTTATTTTCAGTTCCCACTTATGTTCCCTTCCCCCACATAATATGTCTTTAAACATTCTCTCCCCTCATCCTCTTTTCTCAGGAAATATTTAAAATATCTCTATTTCCTATAATTTTTTAATTGCCAATTTTATTCCAACCAGGGGTCCGTTTTTAGCTTACCGTCCCCTGTCCTCAATGGGCAGGTAGGGATTTTAGCCCCTAGCTGGCCTCTGGAGACTGCAAATTGGCAAAATAGCATGAAGGAACTCGGAGGGTTACATATCTAGTGTCTAGGCTCTGACAAGCACAAATGTCTTCCTCCTCCTCCTTTTTCAGAAGCATCTTTAAAGTCACTTCTGGAAAATAAACCTCCATCAGTAGGTAAGTTACCTGATTTACACACTTTTTTTTTTCATGTGGGATTTTGGAATTCAGGGACTTGTTTTAATTAGACAAGATGCAGTGCTGAGCACTAGGAATGCAAAGAAGTGTAAGACCTCACCTCCGCTGTCGTCCGGGTGGGCAGCAGGAAGACGTGGGACGTCACAGTGAGGCAGTGTTTATAGTAGAAATGAATACATACATACAAATGTGGGGGACAGCGAGTGAGCATCCCCTTGGAATCTGGATGGGCTGGAATTTAGAGGGACCTAAAGCAAAGCCAGGGTTGGCAAACCATCACACACAAACCAAACCCAGCCTGCCATGTGCTTTTGTAGATCCTACAAGCTAAGAATAGTTTTTAGACTTTTAAATGGCTGGGGTGAACAATCAAAAGAATATTTTATAGCCTACAGAAATCATAAGAAATTTAGATTTCACTGTACACAAAGTTCTGTGTCCACACAGCGTGGTCATTTGCTTATATATTACCTTCAAGGGCAGAGATGAGTAGTTGCAACAGACTGTGTGGCCCATTAAGCAGAAAATATTTACTCTCTACTCCTTTGCAGGGAAAAAAAAAGATTGCTAATCCTGGCCAAAAATTTTTTGAATTAGTAATTTTCAACATTCTCCTCTCTTGCCATAACCAGTATCCTTAAAAATAAGTTGGGCTCAGGGCAATAGCAGAGAAGGGGATGGTTTGAAAAGTGAAGACACGGCCATCCATACCTAAACCCCCGATGATCTGGCTACATCGATTGATACACAAATATGTTCAATGTCCTACAACAATGACCTAACTGTCAAAGGTAAGTTGACCACCTATTAGATCCAACACTTGGCAATGCTTTAAGGAAAAGCGCCTGCCACGAAGTTGATATTCAATTAAATGTTCTAAGTAAACTAGCCCCAGAGTTCTTTGCTTAAAATCTTACCCTTGGCAACATGACATGACTCCGACATGATCATTTTTCCTCAGTTATTTCAGAGCACCTGCTCTCCTGCTTAATCTTCAAAATGCATGATTGGCTGGCCACTTGCCACTCATACTGGACCTCGCTGATTCACTTGGAGTCTTACCAGCTATTTATGTGCCAAAGACTTCCCAGAGGATATCCTCAGATCAGCATTTCCCCAAAGTTCACATGTTCATACCCGATTGCCTCCTGGATATCTTTTCAGAAATTGCACAAACTCCCTTCTTCATTATCCAGTGTGGAGTTGAAATATTTCTTCCCCCATCATGATTCCATCGTGTTCCTGCCTTCCTTCCCAGGACAGTGTAACTTCACCTAGCGTGTCAGAAACCGGGGAAGTAGCCCATGGAGGCTTCCTGGTGCGTTCAGGAAAGGAGCCATTGTCTGTGTGTGCCCATTTCTCTCACCACAGGTTCCTGAACTGCACGGAAATTCACTTGCCAGAAAAGGCAATGAGATCATAGTGGGACAGTCCAGTGGGAAAGAGAGACAAGTAGTTTCAGTAAAGCACACGGAGCTTCCACAGAGCAAGTGCTTCTTGTTACGATTCTACAGCGGAGAGGCATGTAACTTGTTTCAGGGAGCCATTCGCTCTGTGCACAAACCCAGCTGTTGCACATCCCAGCACACGTTGTGGGCAAGGAACTTAGATGCGCTTCTGGACTCCTTTAATATCATATTTCAAAGAAGTCCCCTTCCTTTGTGTCAAGCCCACGTTAACTTGTATTTTGCAGAGCTTACACAAATGCAGGGAGGAGGCGCCACACACCCAGGAGAAACAAAAGGAGGTTTGGGAGAAGAGCCAGGTCTGTATCATATCTACCTGGAGTGAGTCTGGTGCCAGGTGGTTCCTTACAAACCTGTCTTCGCCTGTTTTTCTTTCCTACTTAACACAAAGTGTGTTTTCTTAATGAATCACCAGCTCTCTCCTGTCTGTCCCCTACCTCGTATCCCTGAAGGTAAACAAGATAAATACAGAAACACATTGAAGAAGAAGTTCGGGCAAATCGGGAAGAACTTACGGCCGGGACCCAGTGAAAATGTCCACATTGCCCCGCAGAGATGTGAGGCCCTGATCCCATTCTGTAATCCTAAGATGCTCGCAGGGCCATTTCCACACACGGCGGTGCTGCAGGGTCCCGCGGGCGCCGGCAGGACCACGCCGGCAGAGCGGCCGACGCTGGGCTGGCCGCGGGGCAGCCCGGCGGAGACCTCGGGCCCCGCCTCCCGCCTGC